CAACCCAGAAGGTAGAGGTTGCAGTGAGCTGAGATCACACCACTGTACTCCAGCTTGGGTGACAGAGCGAGACTCTCTCAAAAAAAAAAAAAAGGGAGACAAATTAAAAGGAGCCAGGAAGAAGAGATAAAGGAGAAAAGAGTAGAGGGTTAAAGCACAGGCTCATGGAAGCCCTTGGAGCAGGTGGCACACATTTAGAAGCGGAAATTGGAATTAAATCTAAAGAAAAATCGGCAAGCTGCTGCTTCTACCTAAGGCCCTGACATGAATTTCAGTAAATCTGAGTTGGCTCTGAGAGGGACGTATTATAAATAAGGAAGCACTTAACAGTCTATCCCACCTGCACATTTATCAAGGTCCTCATTCGTTCTGGAGACGTGTATCTTCAGGGACAGGACTCTGACTCTCCTTTCCCTGTGGGACTGGGTCTGTGTCACAGAAGAGAACTTTGTTTTTTGAGCTGTGGCATTTGCCCTTTTTCTCTGAAGGCACATCTCCACCAACGCCCCCCATGTGATAGGGATGATTTCTGTTTTCAAAGTATCTTTCAAGCAGAGCTAATGGGTCTGACCTGTCTTAATTATAATGTATTGTCCCAGCTTGTCAAAGTGACATTCTTGGCCTTCAGTAAGTACAGCCTGGGCTTGGAGACCCTTTCCATGCTTTGGGGAAGGATTTACCTGACTCCATCACATCACACCCTCTCCCCTTGTCCTTTGTGGCCTTCCATAGAAAGTTTAAAATGGTAGAGAGACTGGGCACGGTGGCTCACGCCTATACTCCCAGCACTTTGAGAGACCAAGGTGGGAGGATCACTTGAGGTCAGGAGTTCAAGATCAGCCTGGCCAACATGGTGAGATCCTGTCTCTACTGAAAATACAAAAATTATCTGGATATGGTGACAGGTGCCTGTAAACCAGCTACTCAGGAGGCTGAGGCATGAGAATCACTTGAACCTGGAAGGCAGAGGTTGCAGTGAGCTGAGATTGCACCACTGCACTCCAGTTTTGGTGACAGAGTGAGGCTCTGTCTCAAAAAGTAAAAAATAATAAAAATAAAATAAAATGGCAGAGAGGTGTTAGGGCTACAGCCTGAGTCATGACGTGGAGCAACAATGGCCGTGTGGTACAGCAATTCAACCCAGGACCTTCATATCATCACTACCAGGTTTTAAACAAATGTGCCAATATCTGATCTGCCCACGGGGATAAGCTTAAACACACCCAGTCAGAAAACTCTCTTCAAATCCATTAACAGAGGGGCCTTTCAATTCTTAAGCATATTTAGGCTGTAAAAAGTTTTGCGGTATCTAACCCTGAGATTGGACCTGTTGAGCCCTTCGTTTTGTGAATTATTTTTATATATATTTTTGGATACATCTCAGCACAAATGAAACAACAGACAACATTTTAAGAGGAGACTCTCATTGGACTTGAGTTATTTGCAGCCTTCGTTTTTCAACTTTAAAAATTTAACAGATATGTGAGTGGAATAAAGTTAATTTTCACCACCCACAATAGTTCATTAGTGAAATAAGGCAAGTATTTAATGGATTTGCGCTTGGTGTGCCTAAAATGATTTCACCATAACAAAAGGTCTTGAAAGACTAAGAAAAAGTCTGATGACAATTAAATTGCCTCTCTGAACAGGAATACTGTATAGCAGGAAAACAGAGTCTTAAAATAGCTCATTGTAGAGCTGGAAAGAGATGGAGAAGTACAGAAAGGAAGCACAAAGGTGTTACATATGAAATGAAAATCTTTAAAAATACCAACACAGTGCTTGCTCTTTGCTTGTGCAGAGACCCAGATTTTCAGTCTTTCATGCTTCCATTTCGTTTCTGTGGGGGTGTGACTTGCTGTATTAGAATCCGAAGCAAATTCCATTTCTCTGCTTTGAAAGGTAAAACTTCATTCTTCCCAGATGTACGGTAAAGCTTTGTAGGCTTCACGTTTTGAATCCTACTGATTAAGAATTGACATTTTCTGCGGGGGGGAAATAAAGCCCAGTAGGGCAGAAAGACAGCAGGAGGGAAGGTTTAGCAAAGAAAACTACCCCCCCCAACCCATTTCATAGAGCACCTTCGATGTAACATCAGAGGCAGAAGGGACTAGAGCAGTGATCTCATCCACAGCCTGTTTTACAGATGAAAAAAATGAAGCACAGAAAAGGTGAGTGATTTGTCCAAGGGCACACAGCCAGTTAGTGGCCAAAGAAGACAGTCCTGTCCAGGTCTTTCCTGAACTGCAGCACCCAAATGCCAATTCTTTTTTTTTTTTTTTTGAGACAGGGTCTTACCCAGGCTGGAGTGCAGTGGCATGATCTCAGCTCACAGCAACCTCCACCTCCTGGGTTTAAGTGATTCTCCCAAGTAGCTGGGATTATAGGTGCATGCCATCACACCCAGCTAATTTCTGTATTTTTAGTAAAGATAGGGTTTCCCCATGTTGGCCAGGCTAGTCTCAAACTCCTGACCTCAAATGATTCACCTGTCTTGGCCTCCCAAAGTGCTGGGATTACAGGCATAAGACACTGCGCTGCACCCGGCCCTGAACACTAATTCTTGCTTACTTATTTGATAAATGTTTGACAGGGAGGGCTTCAGCACAAATCCATTTCATAGCTACATCTTTATGAATGCACTCATTGAAAGCAATGCATTCCTTTGTGATGTTCTCTAATGCAGCCTTATACTGAAGAACGCTTCGGTTCCATGACCTCTGCTCCTCCTCCTGAGCCCAGCCTATTACAATTTGAAGATGACCTGTGGGTCCCACTGCAAGGTAGTGGGTCGCCCGCAGCCTTTGGTTTGTTAGGTCAAAGAATGGGTGAGTCTGGCACGTGGCCCTCCTCAGGGTAGGGAGGTTCTGGAATCCTCTGGGTACCACGAGGCTCGTTTGTCTAAGTTGTAAGTCTTCCTGCTCCTCTTGACTCTGAGAGGAAAATGCAAGAAATGAAACCCAAATTTCTTTCTCATTATCTGATAACATTTTGCCAAAACAACTGTTTTTCGTTTTCTGGTTTTCCAGCTGCTTGTGTTTTTATTTCTTAACTTTAGAAAACAATGTTTTGGCCGGGTGCAGTGGCTCATGCCTGTAATCCCAGCACTTTGGGAGGCCAAGATGGACAGATCACTTGAGGTCAGGAGTTCAAGAGCAGCCTGGCCAACATGGTAAAACCTTGCCTCTACTAAGATATATATATATATTTATACACACACACACAAAAATTAGCTGGGTGTGATGCACATGCCTGTAATCCCAGCTACTCTGGGGACTGAGGCAGGAGAATCACTTGAACCTGGGAGGTGAGCCAAGATTACCCATTGCACTCCGGCCTGAGTGACAGGGTGAAACTCTGTCTCAAAAAAATAAATAAAATAAACAAAAACAGCATTTTAAGGCCAGGCACAGTGGCTCACCCCTATAATCCTAGCACTTTGGGAGGCTGTGGTGGGAGAATCACTTAAGCCCAGGAGTTTGGGACCGGCCTGGGGAATAATATGAGACCTTGTCTCTAGAAAAACTTTTTAAAATTGGCCAGATGTGGTAATGCATGCCTGTATTTCCAGCTACTAGGAGGCTGAGATGGGAGGATCACTTGAGCCTAGGAGGTGGAGGCTACAGTGAGCCATGATGTGGCACTGCTCTTCAGCCTGGGCGACAGTGAGATCCTGTCTCCGAAAGAAAAATTAAATTAAAAATTATAAATAAATAAAAACCAATGTTTTAAATGGTAGATAGTTGCCTTATGGAAGGTCAGAGAAGGGTTGACGTGAACTCTGGAGTTCAGTGTGCACTCCGCCATTTCATTCTAGTAATTTAATGCATAGCTCATGCTGGGCACTTGGTGAGTGAAAAGTGGGATTAGAAAGAAAAAACAGCTGGGCATGGTGGCTCATGCCTGTAATCCCAGCACTTTGGGAGGCCAATGTGGGCGGATCACGAGGTCAGGAGTTGGAGAGCAGCCTGACCAACATGGTGAAACCCCATCTTTACTAAAAATACAATAATTAGCCAGGCGTGGTGGCACACACCTGTAGTCCCAGCTACTCAGGAGGCTGAGGCAGGAGAATTGCTTGAACCCAGGAGGTGGAGGTTGCAGTGAGCTGAGATCGCACCACTGCACTCCAGCCTGGGTGACAGAGCAAGACTCAGTCTCAAAAAAAGAAAGAAAGAAAAAAGACCCTGATGTGAGGATCCCTATGCCCATACCCAAAGAGTTTGGGGAAACAAACAAACAGGACAGAAGCAACGAGAAATTATAGGTAAGTTGCTGGTAATAACCATTATTGCTGGCCCCGGGAATCTTATAAAGTGGGTAATATTTAGTGTCTTCTTTCTGTCTGCCTGTGTTATCCCTCCTTCTGTCACCAAGCAACTCACCTATATGCAGAGGAGGGTTGACAGGACTGGAACTAGGACGAGGCCAGTGAGCTACACAACTTAAGGGGACTCCAAAAGTTCACTACTGCAGACCAAAAATATTCAGAAAAAAACCCAACAAGAACAAATAATACAAATAAGGCCTGGCACAGTGGCTCAGGGCCTGTAATCCCAACACTTTGGGAGGCTGACGCAGGTGGATCACCTGAGGTCAGTAGTTCAAGACCAGCCTGGCCAACATGGTGAAACCCTGTCTGTACTAAAAATACAAAAATTAGCCAGGTGTCGTGGCAGGCACCTGTAATCTCAGTTAGTTGGGAAATTGAGGCAGAAGAATGACTTGAACCTGGGAGGCAGAGGTTGCAGTGAGCCGAGATCGCCATCATTGCACTCCAGCCTGGGTGACAAGAGTGAGACTCCATCGCAAATAAATAAATAAATAAATAATACAAATAAGAAAGCAGTACAGGATAGCAACTATACATAGCATTTACGTTGTATTAGGTCCTTTAGTGACCTAAAGATGATTTAAAATCTGTGGGAGGATTTGCATTGGTTATATGTGGATACTACACCATTTTATTTAATGGACTCGAGCATATGTGGATTTTGGTATCCGTGGGAGGTTGTGAAACCAATGCCCGCTGGATACTGAGGGGCAACTGTATAGTCACGTGGAGGGAGTTGCATTTTAGGCAGAGGAAACAGCATGAATAAATTGATGATGGCCTTATACATTTCCTCTTTGAGTATCATCAAGTAGTTTGGTGCTGCCAGGGTTTAGGGGAGTGTAATACTTAGAATTTTTATGGTTACAAGTAACAGGAAATTCGGCTCAGAATTGCTTGGTATAAGAGGTTAGCAAACTTTTTCTGTAAAGTGCCCGATAGTACATATTTTATGCTTTGCAGGCCACACAGTGGCCAGAGAAGGGGGAGTTTTCTTCAGTAATTCAGTGTCAGCAGGGACCTTGTGTTCCAGCTCTCCACACTATATTTCATCAGGCTGGCAGCCAGCACATCCAGGGACTTCTGGGTCTTTTTCCATGTCTACAGATTAAGATTAACGTTTTAATGCAATATTTTAAAAATCTGAGTTAATGTAATAAAAGAAAGCCCATGATGAACAAAATATTTTACATAAAGAGAAGACTCGTATTACTAATTTTTTTCTTTTGACCCCAGTCTCCAATAAGGCTTGGTATGACACTGAACGTTAATGGCCAGAAATACAGTGGGATAAGGGGTGTGTGTGTGTGTGTGTGTGTGTGTGTGTGTGTAGAGGGAAAGAGATGAATCTCAAAGCCAGAAGAAATCGTAATCACAGAAGCTTAGTTCAATCAATTTTACAGGTGAAGAGCTGAGAAATTAAATGTTTTTCCCTGAGTCAATCACAGAGATCTTTAAAAAGATTAAAGCTCAGATCTCTTGCCCACAAATCCTGTGGATACTTACACAGCAGTGGCTTCTAAGACAGAGGAAACTCACATCTCCCCAGAGGAGGCAAGCCCGGTGATTTGGTCCAAATCACGGCATGTTCTTGGGCCACTCTACATAGAGGTAGAGATTTTTTGTTTTTGTTTCTGTTTTTTTAGATGGGATTTCACTCTGTTGCCCAGGCTGAAATGCAATGGTGTGGTCTCGGCTCACTGCAACCTCTACCTCCCGGGTTCAAGCAATTCTCCTGCTTCAGCCTCCCAAGTAGCTGAGACTACAGGCATGCACCACCAAGCCCGGCTGATTTTTCTGTTTTTAGTAGAGGCAAGCTTTCACCATGTTGGCCAGCTGGTCTCAAATTCCTGACCTCAGGTGAAGGTGATCCACCCACCTTGGTCTCCCAAAGTGCAAGGATTACAGGCGTGAGCCACCGTACCCAGAAGATAGACATTTTAAAACAGTTAAGGGTCCCAGAGCACGTGCATGATCTTTCTTTAGATACTGTGCCATTAAGGATTCCAGAAAAATAAAATATGGCCCAGAGATGCAGCCACAGACTCTTTTGGGATGCCAGCAACTCCTGTTCCTCCTTGCTCCTTCCCCATCCAAGTTTAGGGGAGCAAAGACTATCCTATGTGCACACGACAGTTCTGAACACAGCAAAAGTTCTGAATAAGGCAAAGGACAGCTGCAGCCTGTTGTTCCGGATCTCACTTTTTCTTTGTCCTCTTATGGGCTTTTGCTAAGCTATAGGTCCCGTGGAGGGTGGGTAACTGGTTTACAAGGTCCAGAGATTCATTCTAGGTCGTAGGATCAATTCTTCTCAGTTTGGTTGGGGCTTTCTTAGTTTTAGCGCTGAAAATCTCAAGTCACAGGAAACCATTCAGCCCCAGGCCCCTGTCACAGCTGGTTGGAATCACTGTAGGTGCTTGAACCCAGGAGGCAGAGGTAGCAGTGAGTGAAGATCGCCACTGCACTCCAGTCTGGGTGACAGAGTGAGACTCAGTCTCAAAACAAAAACAAAAACAAAAACAAAAAACAAAATCCCTGTAGGGGCCAGCACCCACACTGGGACCTCACTGTGATTTCTAGAGTCATTATGGAGGTGGGGTGCTTGACCTTTTCTCAAGAATAGGACAGAACCCCAGTGTGTGGAGCGAAGGAGTGGATGAACTTGTTTTTCAAGCTGGGGAATAGGAACTTCTGGTAAAACCTGTCCTTCAGCCTCTGATAAGAATCAGAGGTTTTTGGCAGGGTCTGTAGGCTGAAGGCAGTAAGAGTTTATCACTACCCCTACGGCACTGGGGCTGCAGGCCAGAGGTGTCTGATGAGGACCTTTGGGTGACAGGAAAGCACTGACTCTGATAACAGGCAGATGAGAAAAGGTTGAGATTTGATCCCTACCACCCCTGGAATCAGGGCAGAGGGAATGGGGGCATAAGCTTCTGTGCCCAAACCTACCGCTAGGGACAGGATTTCTAGGACAACATGCCCTCTCATGCAGCTCTAGCCACAGAGCATCTCCCCAGGACAGGGCTGCTGGAGAAAGGGCTAAAGATGTGGGATCCCATCAACACCTTCGTGGTGTGGGGCAGTCCCCCACCTGGATTTTGAGAGGCAGCTGTGGACAGGAAGGCAGGAGAGGGAATGAAAGGTGGGAAAGCCCATCAGAGTTACCTTCCTCCCTCTGGTGTGTGCACATGTGTGTGACGCCACACACACACGTGCACATGTACATGCACATGCATGCACATTCCAGCCTGAATGAGGTCATCAATGAGAGCTTGGTGGGTAAGCATCTGAGCAGGAACAGGGGTCCAGGTGCCCAGTAGTTCCAGCAAATTCCCACAGTCCAGGATCTCCCTGAGCAATTTCCACTGAGCCAGGAGAGTCAGGGTGTAGTGAACATACTATTTAGCCCCTAATAATAACTTCCAACATACTGAAGAGAATGAAGACTGGAGAGGTTCCAAAGAGATCATGTGCTACAGAAGGATCTTATGAGGCTGTAAGTTTATGTAATGGGTAGGATTTAGATAGAAGGAGATTGGGGGGATGTGGAAGAGGAGGGAGTCAAAGGTTCCATTCAGAGAGCTGCGAGAGGTTCATAAACAGCCTGCTTTGACATAGGTAACAGTCGTTATTGCCTTATAGCTACTGATGTCTGTGTCTATTATGTCCAATTCCTCTTTCACCCATCTCCTCCACTTTAAATTTACAAGCTCCATGAAGACAGGGCTGTGTTTTATTCAACTGTGTATCTATTTAAGTGCTTAGCAGGGTGCCTTTAACATTATACAGGCTGGGTGTGGTGGCTCACACCTGTAATCCCAGCGCTCTGGGCAGTCAAGTGGGGAGGATCATTTGAGTTCAGGAGTTCAAGACCAGCTGCAATACAGCAAGACCACATCTCTACAAGAAATATTTTTTTAATTAGCTGGGCATAGTGATGTGTACCTGTAGTCCCAGCTACTTGGGAACTGAAGGAGGAGAATTGCTGGAACCCAAGAGGTTTAGGCTTCAGTAAGCCATGATCACACCTCTGCACTCCAGCCTGGGCAACAGAGTGAGACTGTCTTTGAAAAACAAAACAAGACAAAACAAAAATCATAAGTGTGTGTGTGTGTGTGTGTGTGTGTGTGTGTATTTATTTTTTTTGAGATGGAGTCTCACTCTATCACCCAGGCTGGAATGTAGTGGCATGATCTCAGCTCACTGCAACCTCCGCCTCCTATGTTTGAGTGATTCTCATGCCTCAGTTTCCCAAGTAGCTGGATTTACAAGCACATGCCACCACATCTGCCTAATTTTCATGTTTTTAGTAGAGGTGGGGTTTCACTATATTGGTCAGGCTGGTCTCGAACTCCTGGTCTCAAGTGATCCACCTGCCTTGGCCTCCCAAAGTTCTGGGATTATATATGTGAGCAACCACGCCTGGCCAAAAGTCATACATATTGAAGAAACATTTCTGATAAAAATTGAAGTGGAATTTCAGAATGAGTTTATTAAAGTTTAAGACATATATCTTGGGACAAAGAATGGCTACCACAAATGTAAAAATAAACCTGATGAAACAAACTGATGTCCACATCCAAGCACCCAAAATACAATTATGAATTATTTCTGTCAAAGCTTAAGTATAAAAAGTCACCCAGACTTTTTCATCAAGACCTTCACTGAGACCACGCATACCCTTTCAACCAACACAACTTTGTCTTTTTGAAAATAGTCCATAAATCCATGTAAACTAGAATGACCAATTCAGGTAAATCAGAAGGGCTTGGTATTTGCAACCTCTGTCTCTTACGCAGGCTGGATCTACATCAGGGACAGCCAGTGCCTTGCTGGTGAGCTGTGGACTGCTGGCTAAAGCCATTGTGGATGACATGTCATGACTCCTCAGCTTATGCATCTCTTCCATTTCTCTTTGGTTCCTATTATCTGACTTCTTTCCCCACCTTCTCTTCCTCTTCTATATTTTCCTGTTTATCTTCCTATATTAAAGAATCTGAGCCAGGCGCGGTGGCTCAGACCTATAATCCCAGCACTTTGGAAGGCTGAGATGGGTGGATGATGATGTCAGAAGATCAAGACCTTCCTGGCTAACACAGTGAAACCCTGTCTCTAATAAAAATACAAAAAATTAGCCGGGTGTGGTGGCATGCACCTGTAGTCCCTCCCAGCTACTAGGGAGGCTGAGGCAGGCACTTGAACCCAGGAGGCGGAGGTTGCAGTGAGCTGAGATCACACCACTACACTGTTGCCTGGGCAACAGAGTGAGACTCTGTCTCAAAAAAAAAAAAAAAAAAAGAGTCTAACCATTGCCCATGCATGCACACACTTCTAGGTGTTTCTGTCTCCTTTCTCTACCACATCCCTCCCCAAGAGTGACAGCTGCTGGTTCCCTTTCTTCCTGAGGCCTGATCGTTCAGCTTTTCCTTGGAGTTTATGAAGTTCTTACAACCATCCTCCTTATACTTGAACTCGTCTGAGTAGATTTCTGTTCCTGCAACCAAAGGTACCCCAAGCCCCTTCCTCCTGGCCTCTGTTGTAGGATAGGCCTGTCAGTAGTACCTGGAGGAACTGCTCAGCTAGGACATCAAAGGGCTAACTAACTAATGCCCTGCCTATATTCTATGAAGCATCAGAGTATCTGGAAATGGGTGGACTGTTGGTGGAATTTTCAACTTTTTAGTGGAATATTTCCGCATCTTTTGGACAAGGCTCTCGGGCTAGCTTAAGCACTTTGTTGAGACCATTAAATGAATTTTGTGGTGTAAGACAAGGAAGATTAACATTAATATTGCCACTAAGCCCTACCTATATGGGAGGCTTAGTTGGATGTAGGTGATCGGGGATTTCTTTCTCTCTTTCTTTCTTTTTAAAGAATGACGAACGTTAAAATTGGGAAATAAAGTGGACTTCAGACTATATCTCCCTAAAAGGAATGGCTGTAGAACAGCAAAACCTTTTTCTATCTCCAGAAGGGAATTGTGACAAGAGAATAGAAGCTTTATGGGGAATTACTGGTATTATCAAAGGCTCTTCAAAATAGACTTGAAATGAATAGCTGTGTGCTGGTTTTATTACTGCTTTGTGAGTTTACATTTTGTTTTTGTATGGTATTTTTCTCTCCTCTATGAGATGGTTGCTAAGGCATGAGAGCAAATAACCTTTATTGTGTTGAATTTGGTACTGAATGCAATTATCTTATAATTTGAGTTCATAGTGTCATTTTTGACAGTTACATTATGAGCTTTTTGGGGAAAATTGAGCCCACATACTGTAAGCTGCTTCCTCTTCAGTTGCCCTCCAAGTTACAATGTCTCTGCTCCTCTCTCTCCCATTGCTCTGCACTTGGGCAGCCTTGGAACCAGATGCTGCTAGAAGCAAATCAGATGATCCACTGTGGGCACTGTCAAGCCATGGCATCGTCTGCTCTGAAGAGGCCCTTGTCCCCTGTCATATGTTATTTCCAGGTGACTGCATGGACATGGGTCTCAAGGGATGCTGCAGATGCTTATCACTAAAGGTATGCTGCATTGCTCATGACAAAGGGAAGTCATGAGTACACAGAATTTTTGTAAATCAAGCCAATGTTCTTAGTAACCTTTGTGACCATTACAGAGATGTTTTATCTTCATTTCATTTCTGACTGGCCTTTAGTTGGCAGCATTTCTTCTTCTTCTTTTTTTTTTTTTTTTTTTGAGGAGTTCAGCTCTGTCACCCAGGCTGGAGTGCAGTGGTGCGATCTCGGTTCACTCCAACCTTCACCTCCTGGGTTCAAGCAATTCTTCTGCCTCAGCCTCCTGAGTAGCTGGGATTACAGGCACACACCGCCACTCTGGGCTAATTTTTGTAGTTTTAGTAGAGACGGGGTTTCACTTGTTGGCCAGGATGGTCTCGAAATCCTGACCTCATGATCTGCCCGCCTTGGCCTCCCAAAGTGCTGGGATTATAAGCATGAGCCATTGTGCCTGGCCAGCACTTCTTACCTAATCTATCCGATAGCATTTTTGTAAAGGAAGGTAATGAGCTATAAATAAATTTTGAAATGCACCATGGGAATACATTGCTTACAGAAATCCTTCTTTAAATAACAATTATTTTCTCTGTTGCTTCCCATTACCCTAGTAGAAGTTTAAGTTCTCCCACAGCACACCCTGAGATAAGGTTTAAGTGCAAATGGTTTGCTAGGGAGGTAATGTCAGGAAACACCAACGGGGTGTGAGGAAGTGGCACAGGGAAGGGGAGGACATCAATAAGAGATACATCCATCCTGGTCAACTTGGTGAAACCCCGTCTCTACTAAAAATACAAAAAATTAGCTGGGCACGGTGGCACGTGCCTGTAGTCCCAGCTACTCAGGAGGCTGAGGCAGGAGAATTGCCTGAACCCAGGAGGCGGAGGTTGCGGTGAGCCGAGATCACGCCATTGCACTCCAGCCTGGGTAACAAGAGTGAAACTCCATCTCAAAAAAAGAAAAAAAAGAGATACATCATCAAGTAGGTTACTACTGTGGGTCAGTGGGCCTAAATCCTCCCAAGGATCCCTGGGAGGCAGCACAGAAGACATACCTCAGAGTTATACCACCTGAGGGTGAGGGAGCTGGGGTATTTATACACCAACTCCCTCAGTCATTGGTCCAGGCCTGCTCAGGGGTGGGAGTGGGTGGCCATTTCTTAGCACTTCTGCCTTTTACATGGGCAGGGACTACCAAAACCTAAGAAAGCTCTCAGGCAGAGATGCTAAGTGCTGGTAGTTGGAAGCCAAGGCAGTATGTGCTGAAATGTAGAGGCTGGCAGGCGATGGCCAGGGCATCAGCAACATCTGCTGCCCTTAGCTTCCTGAAGCATGTGAGGGGAAGTTGAGTCTCCATTGCTCCTGAGAATCACCACCAGCTTTTATTGGCATCTTCTATGTGCATTTTCTGCAAACCTAAAAAATGGCTGTAAAGATTTATTAGAAAAGTGAAGTGTTTTCCCTCAAAATGTTTCTTAATGTAGAGCTATGAAGAAATGGAGCCAGTGGCCACAACAAATAGATTAATAAAAAGCCTTTTTAAAATATCCCCACTCATCACTTTCAGTGGATGGGGATATACATGCTAATGTGTACAGCCTTTACTTTCACGATGATCTTTAATCCACCAGCGGCAGATTCCCATGTTTGGCATAGGCTCGCCCCTAGATGCTTTTTGAAAGTTTCTACAGATCCCTGTGTACCTCGTGGACTGTGGGGAGGTAGTGAGACCATCTGGAAGGTGCCCAAGTGGGCAGGGCCAAATGGAGGCATATGATGCCTATTTTTTAGTTTTTGTTTTGTTTTTGTGATGGAGTCTTTCTCTGTTGCCAGGCTGAACTGCAGTGGCACAATCTTGGCTCACTGCAACCTCTGCCTCCTGGGCTTAAGCGATTCTCCTGCTTCAGCCTCCTGAGTAACTGCGACTACAGGTGTGTACCTCTATGCCCAGCTAATTTTTGTGTTTTTAGTAGAGACAGGGTTTCACCATGTTGGCCAGGATGGACTCAATCTCTTGACCTCTTGATCCATCCATCTCAGCATCCCAAAGTGCTGGGATTACAGGCATGAGCCACCCTGCCTGGCCATGATGCCTGTTTTTGAGGGAAAATACTTTACTTCCCTAATGACAAGTCCTTCCTTCCTTCCTTCCTTCCTTCCTTCCTTCCTTCCTTCCTTCCTTCCTTCCTTCCTTCCTTCCTTACTTCCCTCCTCCTTCCTTCCTTCCTCCCTCCTTCCTTCCCTCCCCTCATCCTCTTCCTTCTTCTTCTTTAGAAAATACGCATAGAAGACATTTATCAATAAAAGCTGGTGGTGATTCTCAGGAGCAACAGGGAGTCTACTTCCTCTCACACGCTCTGGGGAGCTAAGTGCAGCAGATGCTGCTGGTGTCCTGCCCACAGCCTCTCAGCCTCTACATTTCAGCACATGCCGGCTTGGCTTCCAACTGTCAGCACTTATACATCTTCCCCTGAGAGCTTTCTTGGATTGTGGTCGTCCCTGCCCATGTAGAAAGCAGAAGTTCTGAGAAACAACCACCCACCCTCACCCCGGAGCAGCCCTCGACCAGTGACTGAGGGAGTTGGTATATAAATACCTCAGCTCCTTCACCGTCAGATGGCAAAACTCTGAGCTGTGTTTTTTATTCCTAGGCACCACCTCCAAACATGCTCACAACTGACAGTGTGATTCAGTCCAGGCATCTTAATTCCATCAACATCTTGTGGAAGTTCCGGATCTTCTTGTCCCCTGTGAGTCCTGCTGCTCTCTTGATCCCTAATGGCACTCTGGCAGCTGAACCAATCATGCCCTAGTTGAGCTCCTATTGCTTTGAGAGTTTTTAAGTCTCTCTAGGTTCCTAACATAGCATTGGAGAGGGATCTTGGTGAAGAAGAAAATTAAGCTCATGGAGTCTCTATGGCATACAGATACCACAAGAGAGTTGAGTTGAACTTCTCTTGAGATCCACATTAATGAATTGGCATCTGGGCAACATGGAACCCAGAACAGTTGTCTATCAGGTCTGTCTAAGTAGTAGCCTGCATCCGTATCAGATCCATTGACCATTTCTTTTTTTTTTTTTTTTTTTTTTGTTAATCAATGGGAGCTTGTTATATTGCTCAGGTTGGCCTTGAACTCATAGCCTTGCCTCTTGAAGTGCCAGGACAACTGGCCAGAGCCACCGTGGCTCCCGCCATTGACCATTTCTATGTAGGCTCCTAATTCTTGTCCTGGCTTTGTAGTTTGTGACATTTCAGAGCTAGAAAAAACTTTAAAGATCATCTAGCCAACTTGTTTCACTAGCAAGAATAGTGCATTCATGTGGTTAGGGAATTTACTGAGAGTTCAGCAGCAGCTGAAGAACTGAGCCCGGGGGTCAGAGCCAGTCCTTTCCACTTCACTGCAGCAGCAGTTCTCATTGAATTTGGTAGAAGCAAATGTTTAGTTTCACCAAGTTTTTTGTTTTTTTAATACCTGCTTAAGGCAGTGCAAGGCAAACTGTAGGGGATTTGAAGAACAAGACACAGTGCCCTCATGGCTCTGAGCAATGCAAACATGGAGAAATAATTACACGGTATAGCAGAGATATTTTGTTTTAAAATGTGGGCCGATGTGATAAACGAGGCACGCACTGTGGACCTCATGCTCTGATGAGCCTGCTGCCACAGGTGAGAAATCCATCCTTCCTAATCTGTGCTGGGACTCAGGGGTTCAGCGGGTGACAGAAGAGACAGGAGCTGACGTCCACGTACGGTTAAGATAAGGGAGGAAGCCACCCACCCTGCAGTGCCCTTTGCCTTGGCCAACGTGACTTTGCAGGTTGAGCTGATTGCCTGGCAAGAAGATGCCTGGCCTTGCTTCCACACACCTGCAGCAACTTTCTGGTTGTACAGCCTTGGGCAGGTACTTAATCCTTTTAAAATTCAGTGTCTTCATCTTTGAAATACTATAAATAACAGCATCCACAGTGTTGGCTGGTGATGAAGACTAAATGAGGTAACATGAAATTCTTAGTACTCAAAAAATCCTTATTATCGTCATTTTCCCCCAGTTGCCACCTTCGCCCCCAGCCCTAAAACAGCTCGCGTTTCTCCATTTCTTCTATAGAGTTTTCCTATCATCACTTTCCCCCCAACTTGCCTCTCACCAAAAATCTTCTCCCCATTCTCTTGCACTGTCTGCTTACGCTCTTTGCTTCTTGCTTCTTGCTCTCTTTCTCCTCCTATTTCTACTCCTCCCACTGGTCTTTATTACCTTCTTAAACCTCCTACTCATTTCTCATTCCCTTTCCTATTTCCTCTGTTTTCTCACAATTTGTGTCTTTCCCCGCAACTCTGCAATTCCCTCCCCCAGCCATTCTGCTCCCATGCCAACAGGTTCTCTTTCTTCTCTGCTACTATTTCCTTCTCACATATATCTTTCCTCTCCTCTCTTCACCTTTTTGCATCCCCTAGCTGCCCCTTCCTAAGCCCTCGTACTCTGCCCTCTGCCCTTTTCCATCTTCCATGTCCAGTTAGGAGCTCGACCTCCATCCCCAACCTCTTCCCTTCGTGGCTTTTATCCTGGAAGCTCACCTGCTCGTTGCAGTAGGCAGCCTCTGGGATGGTCACTGATGTGGTCCCCACTCCTGGCTTTCAGCCCTCATGGAATCCACTCCCCTTCAGCGTGGGCCAGACATGGTGACTCGACAAATACAGCAAAAATGATGGGATATCATTTTTTTATCTTAGAGTTAAAAAGACTGTAGTTTCTGTCTTGGGTGCTTTTTGCCTCCAAGGAAAGCTAGCTGCCATGTTATTATAAACTCTGCAACTAAGAGAGCAACAGAACAAGGAACTGAAGTCTCCAGCCAACAGCCAGGGAGAATCCGAGGCCCGCCAGCAGACACATGCACGGGCCTGGGAGCAGAGCCTCCCCGAGAAGAGCCTTGAGACACTTTGAGCTGAAACCCCAAGTCAGAGGACCCCAGCTAAGAGGCTCCTGGATTCCCGACCCACAGAAACTGTGAGCTAACAAACGTTTGCTGTTTTAAGCTGCTAAGTTTTGGAGTCATTTTTTGTGTAGTGATATTTAAAAGGCAGAATTGGGCCAGGCATGGTGGCTCACACCTGTAATCCCAGCACATTGGGAGGCTGAGGTGGGAGGACTACCTGAGGTCAGGAGTTCAAGACCAGCTTGGACAACGGGTGAAACCCCATATCTATTAAAAATACAAAAAATTAGTTGGGAGTGGTGGCAGGTGCCTGTAATCTTAGCTACTCAGGAGGCTGAGGCAGGAGAATGGCTTGAACCCGAGAGGCAGAGGTTGCAGTGAGCTGAGATGGCACCACTGCACTCCAGCTTGGGTAACAGCTTGAGATTCCATCTCCAAAAATAAAATAAAATGCAGAATTGTCCTCGATCGACCACCATTCAGAAACATTTTATCTTCTGTTGCCTTGAACAAATCACTGCCATTCTTTGGGCCCCAGTATCCTCATGACATCCAGGGTCAGAGTGTAGTGTCCCATGTGTCCTACTTATACGATAGGGCAGATAGTGCTAAAACAAGGTGTATCCTGCTCTGTTTCTCATAGGAAGCCTGGTGAAACCTGTACTTCTTCGTATTTTAAATGCTACATCTTTGTATTTGCCTCACATTTTCACTCCTATTATCTGAAGTCTGTTTCTAATTTCTGACAGAATTGCAATGGTTTATTGTGTGCCTTGCTCTGCATGACATGCCAATTTCATTTTGGAGTCACGGCTATTGTCTTTTTCTCTGCTAATCTCTCTTGTTTTGCAAAATTCCAATAGAACGTGTGAACATAGAGAGTTGCCCTTGTGCCTGATCTTGGCTCTGTGTGGCCCCCAAACAGGGGTGGATGATAGACAGACAGACAGCCTGTCTGCCACCTAAAGCATCTTTTCTTGCTTAAAAATTTGCTTTCCAGATTGCAGACTCCCTTCCAACTCCAGCAAAGCCTGGAACATATTAAATAAAAGCAGAGCTGAAATTGGATGGAATGTCTCAGCCACTTAGATTCAGACCTCTCTTTTCGGGGAAGCCCATGGGAAGAGACAAGGACATGCCCCCATGGATAATGTAGGGGAAGAGGGCTTCTATACCGTCTTCATACCATTCAAGCCTTAAGCAGAGGCAACATATTTTTCTTAAGCGGGGTCTGTAACTCAGGATCCATCACTTATGTATGGTGTCCATGGCAACCAGGCAATGGTATGGGATCCCTTCTCACTGGGGAATTCCTTTTATGGCTCATTTCCGAAACCAGCATGGCCAGTACAGGAGTCTGCCGGTTCCCAGTTGCTTAGCAACCAGCTTCTATGCTCTAGTCACTAGGAAGAGCAGAGAGTTTTTTTTTTTTTAAAGAAAGTGTTTGTCATCAGAATCATATGTTACATTCTCTCTACTTTGTCTCTTTAGAATAAAATAATTAGCGTGTGATAAGGATGTGGAAAGGGCAGCTGCTCCCCGTTGTTAAAGCCTCCGCTGCTCCTGGCGGGCTGTTTTAGGCAAGGAGGGAGAGAGGAAAATGTTAGCATGCTTTCGGATGGTAATTAAGCAGCTCGAGCCATCTGCACATGGAAAGCTCTACATTTTTAACGTCTCGTGGGGGCATCAAGTAAGTACAGGGCCAGCAATCTGTGTGCTACATCCCTCCCCAAACCAGAAAATCCAGACTCCACCCACAAGTGTCACCTCTCCTCGACTTACATTCCTTTGGGGGTTGGGGAGGCTGGGGCAGGGTGAATTGGCTCATTGAGTTTTAGGTACAAGGGCACAAAGGTCATGCAGCCCCCCCCACCCCCGTTACATTACAGCAGTGGTTTTCAGCTAGAGGTGATTTTGCCCCCCACCTGCCCGGGACACCTCTGGCAAGGCCTGCAGACATTTTTGGTTGTCACAACTGGTGGGGGAGGGGATGTTACCGATATCTGTCTGGTGGGCAGAGACCCAGGGATTTGCTAAAGATCCTACAGTGCAAAGTGTGGCCCCCCAACAACAGAGAAGTAGCTTGCCCCCCATGTCAGTATGCCAAAGTGGAGAAATCCCTAGTTAGAGAAATCAGGGTATCTATCTGTATTGTTAAAAAAAAACTAGCATGACAGCTGAAGAGGAAAAATTTTCACAAGGTAAAGAATGGGACAGATCAAAATCCATTCAGCAGACATCATTTCAACCAAAATTTCTGTATAGCACGGAACTCCTGGGCCCCTACTGGTGAAAGTGTTGAGCAGAGCACCCTTTGGAATTGCAGCAGTGGAGGTAACTTGTAAGGCTACCTTCCTAGAGGAAGGACAGCAGAGTTGGAATTGTCTGTCCTGGCTTCTGGGGGCTTGCGCTATGGGTTCTTAGGTGTTTTACATAATCTCTCCGAGACTCGGTCTTCTCAACTCTAGAATGGGAATCTAAGTGGGTATCATGAGAATTACACGGTGGAATGTGTGAAATGCCTGATTCCTATTAAGCCCTCGATATTAGCTCCTCCAACTTCCCTTCTTGTTTCAGCCTCAGGAACCCAGCTGCCCCATCTCTATTGCTGGGTACTTTGGGCTTTGGAGGAATATGAACAAATGTACTGGTCCTATAAATGACTGAGGTCAATTTATTCAGCAATGAGCAAAGGACAAAAGCACCATTTTTGGAATTTTGGCTGGTAGCCTGAGACTAAATTTAGGCATGAGGGACAGAAAAACCCAAGAAACTGGTGAGATGAGAGGCGGTATTGCACTGATCAAGAGTATGCAGGCTTGGTGCGGTGGCTCACGCCTATAATTCCAGCACTTTGGGAGGCTGAGACGAGTGGATCACCTGAGGTCAGGAGTTTGAGACCAGCCTGACCAACATGGAGAAACCACGTCTCTACTACAAATACAGAAATTAGCCAGGCATGGTGGCGTGCACCTGTAGTCCCAGCTACTCGGGAGACTGAGGCAGGAGAATCACTTGAATGGAAGGTGGGGGAGTGGGGCGGAGGTTGCAGTGAGCTGAGGTCGTACCACTGCACTCCAGCCTAAGTGACAGAGCAAGACTCCATCTCAAAAATAATAATAATTGACAAAAAAGAAAAGAGTATGCGCATGGCTGGTGGCTTATACCTGTAAATCCAGCACTTTGGGAGGCCAAGGCAAGTGGATCACCTGAGCCCAAGAGCTTGAGACCAGCCTGGGCAACATGAGGAAACCTTGACTTTACTGAAAACACAAAAAAATCAGCTGAGTGTGGTGGCACACACCTGTAGTCCCAGCTACTCAGGAGGCTGAGGTCTGGTAGAATCACCTGAACCTGGGAAGTCCAGGCTGTAGTGAGCCATGATCATGCCATTGCACCCCAGCCTGGGCACAGGTTTCAAGTCCAGCTCCCCATGTATTGGCTGTGTGTGACCTCAGGCGAGTGACTTGACTGACCTTCACTTTCTCATCTGTGAAATGGGTTATTATTATATTTGTAGTATTATGTAAAGATCAAAGATAATGTATATAAAAGTACCTAACCTGGTGCCTATATAAGGTAGGCACCTAATAACTGATAACATACATGTTTGAATAAACAATCTTTTTTATTTTTTTTTCAGAGATGGAGTCTCAGTCTGTTACCCAGGCAGGAGTACAGTGGTGCGATCTCAGCTCACTGCAACCTCCGTCTCCTGGGTTCAAGAGATTCTCCTACCTCAGCCTCCTGAGTAGCTGAGATTACAGTCGCCTGCCACCACACCTGGCAAATTTTTTTGTATTTTTAGTAGAGATGGGGTTTCGCCACGTTGGCCAGCTGGGTGTGGTGGCACACACCTGTAGTCCCAAACTCCTGACCTCAAGTGATCCATCCACCTCAGCCTTCCCAAGGGATTATAGGTGTAAGCCACTGTGCCCGGCCTGCTTGTTTTTTTAAGTAAGACCATCGTGTGTGGTTCAACCCCAAATCTTCACTGATGCTGAGAGTGATGCTAAGGGGTGTGTATCAGGAAGAACTGTCCTCCCTCATCCTATCTAAAACAGATTTCCCTCAGTATGATATGCTAGTGCCAGCCATCACATTATGTAAGTAATTTTTTAAGCTATTTCTGTTTTTAGCCTATGCTACCTCTTGGGGGGTAATGACTTTCATATTTTTTTTTTAGCAACCGTTTTTTACTTTCTTGAAATGTCGGGAAAATCTCAAGAAACCTCTTCTTTAAAAAATTATTTAAATTGACAAATAAAAATTGTGCCTTTTCATGGGGTAGCTAGAGATGTTTTCATCCACATGATGTATAATGATCAGATCAGGGTAATTAGCATCCATCATCTCAAAAATTTATCATTTCTCTGTGTTCTTAACATTCAGTATCCTCCTTCTCCCTATTTGAAACTATAATATATTATTGTTAACTATAGTCGTCTTACAATGATGTAGAACAATGGAACTTACTCCTCTTATCTAGCTGTAATTTTGTATCCTTTATCAAATTTCTTCCCACCTCTCCCTGCCTCCTCCCCTTCCTGTCCTCTAATATTCTCTGTTCTACTTTTTACTTCTGTGAGATCAACTTTTTTAGCTTCCACATGTAAGTGATACCATGCAGCGTCTTCATTCTAATAAGCTGGTGTTTGGTCTATGTTCACATTATCTGTACCTTTCATAATTCTCGAAACTGCAGTATATCCTGTCACCCTCCAGCCCTCACCCCACCTTATACAGAAGCCCCTCCATCCCCTTGATCACTTGAAATGCTCTGTGAACTCCCTGTTTTCTTTCTTGAAATGTATCAGCTGGAAACTGCACATTCCAGTCTGTGTTAGAAATACTGGTAAGGTGATGTTTTCTTGCCCTATCCACACCCCCACCACCCCCTTATGCTTTCTAATAGTTTCCAAAGTTGGCTCACCTCTGGGGCTAGAGCACTTTCCTGAGCACTCTGTGATGAGTCCCAGGTCCCTTTCCTGGGTCACAATGGTTGGTTCATAGTGGTAGCAGCTCGTCCTCTATAGTTTGTACTTTTTCTCCTTGTCACTGTTACTTCCCATTGAAGTTTATCTGGCAAAGTTGTGCCCACTTGCCCAACCTCATTTAATCTCACCAGTTGGCTTCTGTTTTTTTTTTTTTTTTTTTTTTTTTTGCGACAAAGTCTCACTCACTCTGTTGCCCAGGCTGGAGTGCAGTGGCACAATCTTGACACACTGCAACCTCTGCTTCCTGGGTTCAAGTGATTCTCCTGGCTCAGCCTTCCCAATAGCTGTGATTACAGGCATGCACCACACACCTGGCTAATTTCTATAATTTTAATAGAGACGGGGTTTCACCATGTTGGCCAGGCTGATCTTGAGCTCCTGACCTCAAGTGATCCACCTTCCTCAGCTTCCCAAAGTGCTGAGATTACAGGTGTGAGCTGCCACACCCAGCCTTACAGTAGGCTTCTTGTTGAACAGACCTCTAAAAGCTTAGAGATTGCACTCCTTCTAAACTGTGTGATCCCACCCAATTTTACCCAATTGACTAAAACTCTTTGGAAGTGCGACTCTAAACATGCCATTGCTAAAATTTTTCCTTCCACAGGGGATAATTAAATGTTAAATATAGAAGCAACTTGCTCATCCCTCCCAGGCAGATTTATGAAAACTCACCTGGAAACCACCACAACCTGGAAAGTTGGCAGAAGGATGTTTATCAGGCACGTATGAGCCCAGCTTTTCAGAAGATGCACACAGGTGCCTTTGTCTCTGAATAAGTGGCAGGTGCTGGAGCCACAGTCACAGTGGGTTCTGAGTGGCTTGAGACGGGACATTGTGAGGTTTACCAGGAGGACAAGAAGCACTCAAAGTATGTGGAGGTCAGCGCAGTAGCGAAGGAGTGCAGGCAGGCTTGGGAGGGGTTAAGGGGCATCAGGCAGCATGTCTGGGAGCCAGGATGACAGATGGGAGATTCAAAACAGGGCACCTCTAGAAGCCTGAAAGGAAAGCAAAGTTTATCAGGGTGGGAACTGAGCTCTGGAGACAGAGCAAGACAACTGGCCCTGGCTGAAAAGGGGGCACAGGGTCAGCAGCTGAAGACAGATCCTTATGATAATGAACCAGGGTGGAAACAGGGAAAGAGGGCTTGATGCTTTCTTTGGGCAAACGATTCTCTTCCTATTCCTGCAGCAATCGCACAGGTTCCTAGATCAGCTATTTGGTCAATTAGCCCCTAATGCTGGATGTGGGCATCATACCAGTAGATGGCCATTACCTTCATACAGCCCCTGCACAACACTCAGCTCATGAATGCTCCAAAGAAAACATTTCTGTGATCACTGTGTTTGGGATTTTTGCAAACTATAGGTCCTTCTTCGGAATTCACAGTGTACATTAGCTCTGAATGTGTACAGCGTGCATTTTAAATATTCTGCCAACTCCTGCAGTATAGAAATCTTCTTCATTGTTTTTAATTTAATGTTTCTCAAATGTAGTTGACACCAGGGTTCAACAGGATCCTTTTGTTATGTAACAATTCTGGACATCCTGTGGCCACACCTTGAGAAACATTGTTCTAGAACATTCCTAATCTGGTGTTCCCAGGCCCTTCACAGCCTGGGCCTGCCCTTGTTTCCCAACTCTTCCTTCCTTTATTTTCTGGCATTCCAGCCACATTAAGCTCTCCCCTTGCATATGCTCCTGTTTCACATTTCCTTCTTTCTTGCTACAGCAGGTGATTCATCATCTGCCCAAAAATGGGAAAAAAGCTGAGCCCTGCTCACTTCACCTCACTGCCACCCCCATGTCTGCCTATCTTTTGAGACCCGCCTCAAAAGGAGCCCTGGATTCATTCTCTGCCCCATCTCTGCCCCTGCCTTCCTGTTCCTATAAATAATCCTTTGCCTCCTCTGATCCCTTCTGTCCTGGTATCTGTTACTCTCAGGTCACTTTACATGTTTTACTTTGTATAAGGCCATTTATGCCTTTTTTATTCAAACAGAATCCACGTCTCACTTTTGTACCCAACCCCTCTCGCCACCAACAGAACACAGCATATTTGTAGGATCATTAGAGGGAGCAGTGAATATGATGCTATAACTTCTGAGGTTGGGGTAAGTTCTCTTCTCAACATTCAGGCCAGAGTTGGCAAATATCTGGCTCACCTGCTGCTAACCTGTACTCTCTCACTAATGGCACAGACTCATCAGAGAAGGCTCCAGGAGCTTCTCAACACAGTGCTACCAGCAGGCATGATCAATGGGTTAGAAAAGAGGAAATCTGTTAGGAGAGAGGAGATTTAGGAGAGAGGAAATCTGTTATCCCTGATTTGGACCTTTTGGCAAAGTGAAAGGAGAATTTAGCAAGCTGAATGTGGGAGCTATTAATGCTACAGACCAATGACGGTCCATAACAGAAAAGAGCAATTAGCAAAACTATTTATTATACTTTCATGTTCATGTCTAGTCTCAAGGCTAATTATTTGTATAATTAAGATGTTACCAAATGCAAACAATTGATGAGCCTGATTTCTTGGAATGAAACATGAGACTTATGAAATGTAAATAGCTGTGAATTACTAATAGCTTTCCTTTACTTAGGCTTTCTAACAAGGCATAGCTCTGTTAACATTAAAGAAACATTGGAAATATAATCCCATTCATATTTTTTTAAATGACAAAACAATACAATATGACATGTGAATTTAAATGCATAGAAAAAGCGCAGGTTTTAATTCTCACTCCGCCACTTTCTAGCTATGTGCCCTTGGCTGTGTTACTTACATAAGCTCAATTTACTCATGTTACTTACAGATAGATGTCAGTTTCCACATTCAGAAAAATGGGTGTAATCGCAGCCCCTAGTTCAGAGGACTGCTGTGAAAATTAAATGAGTTAACATGTGGAAAGAGCACACAATAAATGTGAACCATTGTTTTCATTATTCTACTTGTATCTATCTATTATACTTTTATAATGATCGCTTGGATTTTTTACAGTATGTAAGAAACATTAGAGAGAAATGGAATGTATATAGATGTCTCAGCTGTGACACCATCTACGTGTTACTGAAAAGCCTCCATGGTCTAAAAATGGCCACAAGCCCCAAAATAACAGGGTTGGTGAGAAAAAAAAAAAAGGGTTGGGACAGTCTACTCAAAATCTGGCTGGGCACAGTGGCTCGTGCCTGTAATCCCAGCACCTTGGGAGGGCGAAAATCGCTTGAGCCCAGGTGTTCAAGACCAGGCTGGGCAACATAGTGAGACCCTGTCTACACACATACACACACACACACACACACACACAAAATAACCGGGTGTGGTGGCACGCACTTATAGTCCCAGATATCCAGGAGGCTGAGGCAGGAAGATTGCTTGACCCACGGGAGGCTGAGGCTGCAGTGAGCTGTAATTGCACCACTACACTTCAGCCTGGATGACAGAGCAATGCCCTGACTCATAAACAAAACAAAAAACAAAAACAAAAACAAAAAATCTTTGCAATTGTAATTGGAGCACTCACAAAACCAATGTCAAAACTAAAGAAACATTACCCCACTAAGTCTCAGCTTTCATAAACATTTGCGCACCGCATCCTGGCCTTGAACCCTATGGCTCCTGCTGCTACTTTTGAGATATAGGTCCTGGAGGGCAGTTGTTCTTATTGACCAGTTTTATTGAAATTAAACATTTGATTTAAGCAGCATTTTTTGCTAACCCATCCCTCTAGTACAAAGGGAAACGTTTTGACTGCTTCTTCAACAGCACCCTCAGTTTTTCCAGAAAGCTTGACGAGAGAACACCACAGTGGTTCCTAAGTCCCTAAATCAGTCAGTTCCTGCAGCTAAAGAAGGCAGCTGTGTGTATTCTCAGCTTTTTCTTAAGGCTTTCATAGAGTGCTAAGGTTTCCTCTTATTAAAGAGGTAGTTATTGTGAGAAAGCTTGCTTCTGGTTTCAAAACATTTACATCCTGGGGAAGAAAAGTGCACAGGAACCAACATGACATCTGTGTTATACCAATTCCCTTGTTTACTCATGGCTTGTGAGGTGGCTCATATATAAGAAACATTTGTAGCAAAAACAGTTTATATTGAATATCTCCAATCTGCTAGTTGCTGTGGTAAGAAAGAAATAGAAGGCATGTGATTTAATCTGCACATCAATCTAGTGTGGTAGAGGTAAGATATCCTTACCTCTGAGGCTCAGAGACATTAAATAACTTGCCTGAGATCACAAGGTTTTAAGTAGTAAAGCCAAAATTCCTACCTGGAATCTAACTGACTCCAACACTCATGCCTTTTGAGATCACACTGTCCCTACTAAGGATGGCTGTAGGCAGGAAAGAAGACAGACATCCCTGGCCATGGTAATGAGGGAAAGCCTGATTCCTAACCAAAAGTCACTAACATTTAGTTGCACTTAATCCTCACAACAACCCTGCTACATAGTTATTATTACCAGCAATTTATAGATGAGGAAACTGAAGCTCATTAATCAAAAGACAAGCAACCCAATTTTTAAATATAGACTAAAGATTTGAAGGAAGAGACACCCATCAGAGAAATGCAAATCAAAATCACAGCAAGATACAATCACATACATCTTGGTTGTATGTACATTGTATGTAACCCTGTACATACAATGGTTGTACAGGGATTGAGTGAACGTTCCAATTTCAAAAGGTAGAAATCAAGCAAAAGCAAGGAGCAATAGGCCCCACACGAATTCAAAACCCAGCAAGACAGACATTAAATTTTAAAGCTCCAGTATCCACGGCACACTGCGCATGTGGTGAGCTCCCAAGGCAGCTTCACCCCTGTGGTTTTACAGGGTGCAGCCCCCATGACTGCTCTCATGGATTGGAGTTGAACGTCTGTGTCTTTTCCAGGCACAGAGAGGAAGGCCAGTGGCTATACCCACTAGACTGGTGGTGATTATAATAAAAAAAGACATAACAAGTGTTGGTAGTTGGTGATGATCTGGAGAAAATGGAACCCTCATACACTGCTGGCAGGAATGTAAAATGGTACAGCCACTTTGGAAAACAATTTTTCAGTTCCTCAAACTATTAAACAGAGTTATCATATGATCCAGCAATTCTACTCTAGGTATATACACAGAGAAATTATAACATATGTATGCACAAAAAAAGAACATGAACATGAATAGCAGCATTATTCATAAAATCAAGTGGAAACCAAAATTCTCATCGACTGATGAATGGGTAAATAAAATGTGGTATATCCATTTGATTAAGTATTATTTGGCAAGAAAGAAATGAAATGCTGATTGATACATACTAGAATATGGATGAACCTTGGAAACTTCATTCTAAATGAAAGAAGCCAGCCACAAAGGACGACATATTGTATGATTCTATTTTCTGACATGTCCAGAATGGGCAAGTCTATAGAGTCAGAAAGTAGAATTGTGGTTGCTCGGGGGTGAGGATGATGAAGGCTTTGTGGATGATGGCTGCAGAGCACAGGGTTTCTTTTGGAGTGATGAAAATGTTCCAGCATTGATGGTAACAATGGATGTACAACTCTGAATATACCAAAAGCCATTAAAGTGTACACTTTAAATGGGTGAATTGTGTGGTAACTGAATTATATCTCAATAAAGCTGTTTTTAAAAATCTGAAAAAAAGATTTGAACAGACACTTCCAAAAGGAAGCTATCGAGATGGCCAATAAACATATTTTTTAAAGTGTTCAACATCATTAATTATCAGGAAAACACAAATTAGAACCACAGCAAGCTATCTCTACACAACTACTAGGATAGCTAAAATTATAAACACAAAATTTTGGCAAGGATATAGAGAGCAAAGAGTTAAAAATATATCACTCTGGCATATTAACTATTTAAGCTAAAGGCACTTGAAAAATAGCAGATGTAAAAAAAAACCACTTTGACCTTCATGCTGTTTCTTAAAAGCAGAAGATGAAATTCCTGTGTGAAGATGCCCTCCCTATTCTAGAAGAAGAGGCAACAGCC